GAGTTTACTCGGTCAGATTTCTCGTAGACTGGTTCTCTCTTATGGGAAAGGGCTGCAACAAAAATAATATTACAAGAGCTTGAGGATCCTATAAAATGAAGAGATCTTCCTCTTTGGAGCCACTCGTAAGTGGGTAACTAGGTACTCCACGGTGGACAGGTGATAGCCGTGCCATTGGAGTAATATCCATAAAGACACGAAGAACAAAAAAAAACGGGTAAGATAGGGTAGGGGTGGGGGGAGTCCATTGGGGGCGGAGGGGGATATGTTGGATCGTACCCTCCTAATGTACATCATGGAATATGGTATATGGGTTTGGTTTTTTTTTTTTTTTTCGGTGATAACGTTGTGGGAGAAGAAGAAGGGAAGCGGCATCGTGAGGAAAAAATATAGAGGTAATATGTGTGTGAGAGAGCTTAATTGTGTGTTGCCTCTGTTTGTAAAGAGTGGCATGGTATTACAGTGATGTATGCAGTCATTTTTGATATGGTTGTGGGTGAGTGGGTTTTAGATTCCAATTGTGGTGTTGGTATAAATATTATGGTGATGCATTGGTTTCTTTTCTTTTTTCTGTTTGGAAGTGTGTTGATTATTGTACAGTCTCTTTGTTTTGCTGATGATGTGTGGTATTGTTTTTGTATGTTGCCAGGCGTTCACTGTGTTTTTGCTGTGTTTTATTGTTCAAACTGCCTGGTAATGATTTTATTATAATGGGAATACAGACACTCTTTGTGTATGAATACCGAGTAAGATGTTGGAGTGTGTGTGTGTAGAGACATTTATTCAATATTGTTTTGATACCATTTGTTTTTCACTTCTTCCAAATTCAAGGTGTTGTTTCAATATCTGTGTAACTCTGGGTGTGTTTTATTGTGTGAGTGGTTTACTGTTGTTCCTCTCATTGGGTTGTTGTTTGATTGCTGTTGTGATGTGTATTCTCTCTGTCTCTCTCTCCTTCTCTTTTTTATTGTTTTCTTTTTCTAGATCAGTGTTTTTACGCAAACCAAACTGTTTTTTCTCTCACGATGATGAAGATGAACCGTGTGATGTGTGTGTTGGCCGTTGTGCTGTGCATCGCCTGCGGGTATGCCATGACTGCCTCTGCTGCTGAGGTTAAAGGAAATGCTGTGCAAGGGAAAGGAGAAACAGGACAAGAACCAGGCACAGAAAATACAGAGCCAGGACCAGTAGGACCAACAGATCAAGTCCCAGACACGGAAGCAGGGGGGGATGATGATGAAGAAGATGGTGAAGAAAAAGATGAGACAGAATCGCCTGGCACTGGAGGTGCACCTGGCCAAGGTGATGCAAGTCCTGGCGATGACAAAAAAGAAGATGAAGAAGAAAAGGAAGATGAAGAGGTGCAACCAAGTCCAGATGCGCCCGGAACTGGGCCACAGCCTCCTGAAATAGAAGGAGATGTCCCATCAGGTGGTGAACCTGAGCAACCTGAGGATGGCAACGACAAAGAAACCGATGCTCCCGAGAACACCGATAAACCAGCAACACAAGAACCCACTTCCACCAATGCACCAAGCAACGAGCAGAAGCCGGGCGATGCTGACAGCAGTTTCAGCCCTGTGTGGATGCGCACTGCCGCACCTCTGCTGATTGTGGCTGCGTTGGTATTGTAAAACGGTGTATTGAGAGGATTTTTGTTTGATTGACGAAAGCACTCATAATAATAATTTCGCCATATATATATTATCG